TGGAGGGTACGGTCTCTTGGTAGAGAAGCACACACCCCACCCAAGCCCACCACCACGAACATTTTTTCTGAGACTGAAATTAAAACAATTATACTCCTAGATGGTAGAAATGGCAGATAATACAAATCCCCAGCTTTATCGTGCTACCCATGTCTTAATCTTATAAAAGGATGCTGAAATGGGATAGATGGTGAGTTCTTGAATGATACCAGGATTTTGTTAGCTCTGGAATCCACATCAGTGGTGTCCTGGGCAGACACACATGTAATTCCCTGTCCCAAGTTCTTGCCAAACACAAAGGACTGGAAAGGTTACTGGGTTTTATTAGAGCAGAAAGACATCAAAGAGGAAGAGAAAAAGTCATTGTTTGTAATAAGCCTAACTGAATTAATGTTAGAGAAAATAGATTTTGTGGGAACACTTGGCTCTCTTAGATAAACGGGGACTCTAGGTCTTAGATCCCTAAGAGTCCTGGTCTAAGGATCTTGGAGGCTATCAAAACAGGAAGGATTTCAAGTCACTTAGCACCTCTCAGTGGTAAGGTAGTGGGCTAGCTAACAAAGACTTTGAAAGATACACTGTAGCCTGGAGTCAAATGACCTCTCCCCTCCACATCTCCCCCCCACCCCCCGCCCTGCCCCACAGCACTCCTCTGTCTTCTACTTTCAAGAACCTCTGGCTCTCAAAACCGACAAACTGATAACCTTGACTCCCTCACATCTCTCCTTTTCCAAGTGCCTACTGTTACTTTCTTACCAAACAAAAGACTTTGGGACAACCCTTTCAAATAGAAATGGCCCAAGACCACAAAGCAAGTAAACTGAAGAGTTTTTGCTCCAAACTGGGCCCCAAATGATGTGCCCTCTCCAAAAGGAAGGCTCTGCCTCTACTCTATCAACTTCATATGTAGTTAAAAAAAAAAAAAGTCCAGCTGAATAATCTCCTATAAAAACAGGATTAAGATCAATGTGTTTTAGGCTCAAGGGCTGCCATAACAGTTAATTCTATTTCCCGACCCACCTATTACAATGTATTTATGAAAAGTCGATTTTATCAGTTAATTAGCCAATCCTTAGGAAATTACTAGTACTTCCTTCAATCGGTCCATTCTTTTTGAAACACAGATCTAAAAAAGAACACTTCAAGGGGAATATAAGGTCATTTGGATTTTCAAACAGTTCTCTAAATTATATTTGCTATGGAGGCCACGGTTTTTAAAATAAGATTTTTATCATGACTTTTCCCCAGTGTAAAATATTTTTGTTATTCAAGATGCTGACAGGTGAACATTCACAATATCACAATTGAAACAAATGAGTGTGATTAAAAGAAAATTAGAACTGAAATCTGCATTAAAAAGTACTATTTTTATATGCTAGAATCTAGTAATACCCTTAAGTGCCAAGTTAGTCCAGAAAAATTAATGTAAGCTCCTCCTCCCCAAACCTAAGCACTTTGAGTTCCAATTTTATCCATGGTTTTGATTTATAGTTAATTCTGTGAAAATGTATAGTAAAAATGTATACACATCTAATCACTGACCCAGATTTCCACATACACACACTTATTTATATTATACAAGATATATACATACACACAGTTTTATCTGTATGTACACCAGTATGTCTTATAGGAAAGATGTCAGTTTTATAGTTTTTCTGTTTTATAGGTTTCTTCCAAATCCTAGATGGAAAAACTCAAAGCACCAAGATAGTTAATAAGTTTTTCAGGATCATGGAATGAAAAGAACTGAGGTGACAAACTGGGTGGCCAACAGTCTCCCTAAGTCTTTCCTGAGGATTGGCTCTCTCATGATTTCAAAAAATCATGAGAGAGCCTGGACCACACCTGCATGTGCCAGGACCCCCTGGCTCTGCAGCTCTGTGAGAGCTTCTTTAAGAATAATATTTTATAATTTCTTTTTCTCATTTCACCTAACCCCTCCCATTTGCCCCAAACCACCAGTCAGTCTCTCCAGTTATCTGGACCTTATATTATCCCCTCTGTAAAACGAAGGGGTTGGGAAGACTATCTCTACAAGGTACCTGCAGCCCAGTCTGGGATCTTCAAGGTTACTTCTCAGGACCAGGGGACAATGGGGGGCACTGGCAGAACCCCTCTTGTCTACAGGTTGCACTTTTTGTTGCCTTGAATTGACCTTTAAGAATTTCCAGATGGGGGGATACTGTACTAATGTCTGTATTTGTGAGGTAAGGTGAAGTCTATATAACTAGAAGTAAGTTGAACATTTCTGTAAGACTTAGAAGAACAATGGTTTAATTTATTCAAATCACATTTATGGATAGATGCCTATGGTTAGGAACCCAAATCTGGAAAACTTACAAAATATAATCTCTTTAGAAGCTGAGCTCATAGCACTTACTGAAAAAAGTAAGCCATAATCTTCAAAACTGACATTCTAAAATAAAAATCACCACATTACTTAGTATTTTTTCTCTCACACACAAACACACACACACTCTCTCTCTCTCTCTCTGCCTCTGCACCCCCCTCACACACACACACACACACATACACAGCCCCCCCACATATAGAAAATTAATCAAATCATCATTAAAAGGACAGATTATAATCAGTGCGGCAGGCCACAGAAGAATATTTGTTACAAATGCTTTTGCTACTACAGGGAAAAGGTTTGCTTTACTGGGCAAGCGCAAGTTTGGTTTACAGTTCATTGATTGGCTGACTCAAATCAACTCATAAGGTTTTATTAAATTTGAATGAGTTTCTCCCCCTCCCCTGGGATAAGCATGGGCTCTTCCAGAAGGTGACTGCAGTGAAAGCTGATCCTCAATCCAAGGCTGTGAGATGTGTTCAAAGAGAAGTCTGCCCAGCCCCGGACTCTGCCAGCTTCCATGCATCTACACTGTCAGTCACAACTGCAGTAAAACCAGTCACACGTAACAGTAAGGATGAACGGCTCAAGAACATACCACCGCATCCTTGTACTCTTACTTAACCTCTAAGGCAAGCTGATCTATTTGAAGCCCTCCTTCTTAAAGCTCCATCTCCCGAAGTAAGAGTCAGAGAAGGGGAAAGAATTATTAAAAACACTTTTGAGGCTACTCAACCATCTGTTTTATCCTTAAAGGACAGAAAAGCTCAACCTTAAGAAGTTAAAGCAAAAAGCAAACAAAGTAAAAAACACATCACACTTGGTGAGCAGAAATATCTCTGAAAAGCATCTCCATTTTAGGTAGGTATGGCAATTTAATTAAAGAATTTAGCACATTCTATTGGCTGAGTGGGAATTATTTCTAAGGAGCCAAAACACATTTATTGATTCCTTCACTTTAGCCTATTCCTGCAGAGAAACATCTCTCCAAATATAAATCTTGTTTACTGACATCTTTATCTAAAGAGCATACCTTTGCTTCAGCACATGAAATCAATCTGAATGCAGTCATCTCAACTCCCTTTTAACTCTTTGGGTTACAGAGAAACAAACAAAAGTGTCATAAAAGCATTTCAAAGAACTTCTGCCAAGAAAGCCACCTCCCAAACAGACTGCATTTTATGCTGCTCTGAGTAGGAAATGGAAAGGCTGGGCCAAATTGTCAACACAGAACAAAGTAGGATTACAAATCCCATCTTTTATCTTGCAACACACACACACACACACACACACACTTGCACACACACAATATTTGGGTTATCTTTATTTAGCCTTTTAGTGGCAAGCTTCCCAATCACTTGAAAGCAATCAAAGGGCAATAATTAACATACGTTTACTTTCCTATAGAAAAACTATGGCAAGCTGTGACACCGCTAAGGTTAACTATGCATTTGTGGATTACGGTTTATTCCCTTTTAAAGTTTCATGGCATTGTGCCTTGAATAGGAGGTATAGCATTAAAGAATGTTTAGCTGGTACCTCTAGGCTTTCATCTAATGACTTAGAACAGTCAGCTTTTACTTAAATACAAAGATACCCTCTCTCTCCTGTGGCATTTACACACATAAACACACACACACAAGATAAAACAAAGCGGGAAGAATTTGTTGGTGCAAAATGAGAAATCGAATCCTTGCCTGGCTCAGGTGCTTGCTATTATAAACTATGACTAAGAGACATGAATTTCTCTATGATGCAACTCTCAAGAGAGGCAGCATTTTCTCCAGGCCTCTCTTAAACCAGCTCACTCGCCAGTGACTAATGCTCTCTAGAGCTGCCCTGTGCTGCTCACATTTCATCAGCCAGCTTTGTCCTTGAGAGCTCTGCCTGGACCATAAAAGCTCCCAAACCTGTTGAGGACAGCCCAGAAAGATCAGTGAAAAGCTAACCATGCCCTTGCCAGCACCGAGAGCCATCTTTTGAGCTTCCCACTGCATTTATTAACTCAGTGAGATAGGTGCACTCAATGACCATTTGAAGAGTAAGTTTTTACTTCTCTCTGAAAGATAAAGTCCTGAACAACTACATGAAAAATAAGAATAAATCAGGTCACACTGTGACCACCCTGTGTCAACTTAGAAGTAGAAACAAAATTGACAACATGTTGGGTGAAGCCACAATTAACTGGAATCTTCCATTAACTATTTTCTGTACCTTTAAAAGAGAAAAAAATGTCAGACTCATGATCTGCATCAAGGACTTAATTTATAAAACAAACAAACAAAAAAAACACCGTAAAATAACGTCCGGTTAATGGATGTTAAGTCCAACATCTTATATATATAATGTCAGTTGATTTATAATTTTGAGCTTGAAGCCTTGCAATATTCTTAGGCAAAAAGAAATTTAGGATGAAATTATGTTCAGTAAATCTTATCTGCAATAGAGTAAAAGCATTTTAGAAATAACTCCAATAAGGAATGAAATAAAAGTTTTGAGGGTTAACTTTGAATTATTTAAAGAAACTAAATGCATTCCACTGTCCAAATATGCTGGCAATAGCTGAAAAAAAGTCTTCCAAACATGGATGTTCCAAGACCAAACGTTTTCAGAACAAACGTGCCACCACCAGAAAGGTACTTACAGTTATCAGACTGGAAATCTGGGACAAACTGTTCATCATCAGGAACTTGTGCTGGAAAAGAGATTTTTATTTTAGACATTTAAGTTTTATTAAAAAACGCAGTTAAATGTTTTATATGGAAAATCGGACAGCCAAGAAACTTGCCTTCAGCTAACCAAGCCTCTTGAAGTTGACTGAGATCCTGAAACAACTCTGGAATTGAAAACAGAAGACACCAGAATGAGAACTCCTGTGGTAGGGAGAACACGGAAGATGAGTCTACATGCGGCTCTCCCAGGGGGCCATTTGAAGAAGCCACAGACCAAAGGGAAAGCTTTACTACCTTCAGAATCATGGGCCAGATCTGTGTCCAAAAACTTCCTCTTTCTGTCAATCACAGGCCGCCCTCTACATTCCTCTGAGCGAGATTTCTGAAAGAGGCCAAAAGACAGTGAAGGCTCCAGGGTAATAAAGGGGTCAAAGGGGGTTGTGCCACTAAACCAATGAGAAGACTCATATTCGAAGAGGGAGAACAAAACAAACCAAAGCCACATACACTTACCCCTGGGACCATAAAAGGGACTTGCTGATCATAAAACCCATCCATGGTGCTTCCAATGCCTTGAATATCACTTTGAAAGGTTTCAGCATTGAGTAATTTCTGGGGGGAAAGGGGTCCTCCTGTAATAGGAATTTGGGAGATTTTTAACTGAGAGGGAGCAAAGAAGAGAAATGAAGTAATTTTTACTGCTCTTTCTTTAGGGCCTGTGCAAAATCGCTACCTTTCTCTGAGGTACTTAAAGCCCACTCAGTGTGTAAGCTTTACAGACTAAAGGTGTGCTTGATTAAGGGCATCAAAAGTTCATAGTGTACTTAGTGTCAAATCCATTTACCTAGCCCTCCTACCCTCTCTCTCTAATCATAAGTTTGCTACTATCTGTTCCCTATAAAAACCAAAACCAAAACCCCTTATTTTCATTATAAAAGGGTGATTTCAAGATTCTCTCCAATAGAAGGTTCTCCAGGGCATTTGTAATGTTAGGTCTTTTTTTTTTTTTTAAGAGATAATTTAATTTTTGACAGTACAGTGACAGGAAGTAGAGAAAATGGGTTTAAGCATTCCAAATTATTGGCAATTAAGAATTTGACATACATAGTGTTTCTAAAAGTAGTTTGTAGGTCAGTGGTAAGACACCATATATAGTTCCAGGAATATATCGATCAGAGATATACTTATCTTCACACAACACTCTTTTAAAATCTAATTCTTCTGTTCAAACAGATGTAGTGTCTGTAATGTCACAAATATTCCTATGACAACTTACAGAGATATTTGTGCTATCAACAACTTCTAAAATAAAATAGCCATGAAAACTAATGGATCAAGGAAACTAAATTCCATCACACAGATTTTAAATGCATCTCTACCACAGATCTTAAAAAAGCATTAAAAGCAAAAGATCCATGTAAAGAAAATTCAGTTTGTTTCTTACAGTGAAGTAATTTTCCCCAAACTTGCCCCCCGCCCAATTAAACTTGTTCAGGCACTGTCAAGTCTTGGGGCTGGGAAGACAGGTTGAGGGTCAAATGGAAAGGAGGGAACGTTTTCTAATTTGGGAGGAATAAAGTAACAATTTTAGGAATGTACCATCTTCCTGAACCCTTTGTTTCATTCTCCAAATAGAAATGCAGTTAAATCAACAAAATGGAGAAAACAGTAATTTCATTTATCCCCAGCTCTAAACAAAGCCAACTGCTTAAGGATAATTCTTTTGTTTACCTTGCATACAAATTTTAAATAGGGAACTTTTTCTCAGTGGGCAATTCCACGCAACTTGTTTTTCTTAAGTGAGCAGGATACAAGAAAACCCTTCGTGGTCAACCTCCTCTCAGCACTCTGGTCCAACTAGTCAGAAATTTTCAAAGTCAAAGAGAAAGAAGGAGAGGAGCAAAACTGCACACAGTCCATAATTTCCTAGAAAAACATGCCCGCTAGCTTGCCTGCATGCCTTCCAAACAGCGCTAAACGTTCAGAATAAAGCCTCTTTCTCAAATGTCATCAACCCGTATACAAAATCTGAGAAACGTCGGCAGTGAGTTGAGGGCCGTGAAAATGAGTCCTCTGTAGACTTCAAAATCTGTGCGATTAAATCGTGACCTTAGAAGTTCTGTCAGTGTCTAGGGGGGAAAGGGACAACGGGAAAGAGATCGGAGGGGGACATATTTCCGAGCCTCACAATGAAATACGTTGCAAAACACTTCACCACGAAGAGCAAAAATACCTTTTTAAAAATGCAATAAAAGAAAGAAGCTGCCATACGCGAACCAGAAAGAGGCATCGAGGATTTTTAAAGCAGCTCTCGGAGTTCAAGGGCTAGGAAAATCTTGTTTAAAGTATAATTTTTTTTAAAGCCTTAAGGGAGTTTAAACCACTTCCTTTGTGGTCCCCCCTTCCCGGTGCCCCCAGGAAAACTTTAACGCGGCGCAGCGGCGCGATCGAGGCCCCTCCCCCGCGGCGCGCAGCGGGCCTGGTTTTATGAATGGGAGAGCGAGCCGCCACATCAGGTAAAGGCTGTAACTGGATCCCCAGCGCTGGGCCCCATTCACAAAACAAGACACACTTCCACCCAATTCCCAGCCTTCCCCATTCATGAAAACTCCTTCAGATGCGCCCCCGCCCCCACTTCCAACGCACGCCCAGCCTCCGACGCAGGCCCCTCACCCCCAGAGATTTCGGAAGAAAGCTCAATGCTTCATTCACAAAAAGGGAAAGAAAAAAAAAAAAGCCGCAGGGAGCAGCGAGCCAACGAAAAGAAACCCGCTTCATTCATAAAGTCATCCACATTCATAAAACCGAGTGGCGGCGCCGGGCGCTACCAACCACCCCCAACCTCCAAACATCTCTCCTTGGCACTCCTCAACCAGGAGTTCGGTTCCCTCCAGAGGTCCCCTCTCCTCTGAAAATGCGGACAGATCACTAATCCAGTGAGAGGCTCCAGCATCTCTCCATCCCCCCACCCTCCGCACCCGTTTTTTCCCCTACTATCCCCAGGCCGCTGCTCTGATGCTCCCCGATTTCTCGAGAACCGCGATGCAGCCTTGACGCCCTCAGGCTGCTGGGGATGGGAGTTGGGGGATTGAGTGTCCACTTTCCACAATCTGAAACTTGCAAGGCCTGCATAAGTTCCTGGCCAACCCCCAACCCCTCAGGCTGCACATGCCTGTGTCACTTAACCCCTCCTGGTGCTTTGGGGGGCAACACCTCTCAAATATTCCCCTTCAAGCGGCTTCCCGCCCCCTCCTCCCCACTGCAAAGCTCCGCCGGGCGTCTCTTCTCGCGAGCCTCCAAGGCTCCTCCGGGCTCTCAGACCTCCAGAGACTGTACAGCCCCGCAACTCCGCGTCCCTCCCCCCCATTCCCACCCGAGAGCCCCCGCACCTCGCGCCCGGGTGCGCCTCCCCGCGACGTGCGGAAACCGGCTCTCCGAGCGCTCCGGAACCGTTAGCCACCCCCACCCTACGCCTACCAAGAACCGAACCGGACCGAGCCACGAGAAGAGGGGGCGGCCAGCTCGGGGGGGGGGGAACCTCAGTCCAGATAGAAAGTGCACCCGGACTTTGAGGATTCTGAATCAGCCAGTGAACTCTTGCCGGCTGAGCCCTTCGGACCGGCTCCTGAACACCCCCTCCGATGCCCCCCTGCCTCCTCGATGCCCCCTCACCTGAGGCAGCCGCTCTCCTCCGGTTGCAGCGGCCCCGGGGCGCAGGCGCGCTCACGCACGCGCGCACCGGGCCTGGGCGCCTGGGCGAATGGCTGGGCCGAACCGCTCGGGGGACGCTGAACCGCTCCGCGCACCAGCGGCTGGACTCTGCGCCGCAGCTGCCAACCAGGCTGGAGCGCTGGCCCGGCCCCCCGGGGCCTGCTGCTCCGCCTGCCACCATTGGCCCGCGGTCCTAGCTCAGTCTGGTTCTCATTGGCCCGAGGCCGCTCCTGCGCCTGTCCATCACGTCTTGTTTACCCTGTCTGCGGGCAAATCCAGCCGAGCCGCCCCATCCACTCCAGCCCCCATTGGTCGATATTGCTTTCCTCTCCACCCCCTCAGGGGTCTGTTTTACATAATTTATGCACCGGGGGCCATTGGCCAATCAGCACAGGCTTGTTTATATAATGAATGTAAGGACGTTTTTCATTCATAAAAAACGCGACCTGAGGGGGAAGCTTAGCTGAGTCAGTGAAGCACTTAAAGGGGCCGAAGCCGCGGAGAGTCGCGTTTACTTCCCTCCTCGCAGCTCTCCCAACTTTTCACCGAGGCATGGCTCTTCCCCCGTCTCCATTCACCCCTATTCCCCCACCCCCACACCCCGCAACGCCACCGCCAGGATGGGCCACTGGGCGCCAGACGTTAGCAGCTGCAGCAGCAAGCAAAGTTATCATTTTATAATTCAGGCGAGAGGAATTCGTCATTCCACCCAGAGAGAAACTCGCTGACCGACCTGGGCGTTCGGCCCACAGAAACACAGAAAACGGAAACCGAGCCCTCTAATCTTAGTTACCTTTAAGAGAGGCCTTAATTTCCTTTAACCAGGTTTCCAGTGGGGAAGAATAAGCAGTATCTCGCTTTAAAATCTGAGCTCTCAAACAGATTTTGGTTACTATTTTATCCTGGCAAGGCCTAAGGCCCAAATTCCGTTTGCTCCCCGTTTAATTGCAGTTTACAACCTTCGCCAGAATAGGTTCTGGACCCGAGATGAGATGAGAGAGGGTCGGAGCTCAGAGAAATCCTCTCCGGGGATGGCACCAACCAGTCAACGGACCTAGAAACGTAAATCCCTCCGAAACGGGCCTGCAGAGTTAGACCGCCTGCCTCCCTTCCGGGACTGCTTGTTTTCCATTTAAGTGTTGAATGCAAGATGGTGCATTTGCGAATTAGATCCCGTGCAGCTGGGAACGGCGAGAAGCTACTCTGCCTGCCAAACGATCGGGCACTAACTGCAATTGCTGAGATTCTTAACAGGGTGTTCCAGGAAACAAATAAATAAGCAATCCTCTCCCTATTCTGCCCCCTCTACCCCCTCCTGTGAAGGCGGGGCAGCTCTCTGCGCTCCCCCAGGATGTTGGGGTGCCCTGCCATTCACCCCGCGTGGCCGTGGTAGGGAGGAAAGACGCCAGATGTTAGGAGAGAGCCCCTAGTGAAGGGGGTAGCCAACTGTGGGGCTACCACCACCCCTGCCTGGGGAATGCAATGTGGATTTTTAGGGGAAAAAATTTTTTTTAAGTCAAAATTTGCCCACCTTCTTTTCGGCTTCCATTTGTGTATCTTAAAGAGAGATGCCACTTGGTTTGTCATTTATAGCCCAAGAAATATTGGGGTTCATCAAAGGAACCTGGAGTACCCTGCTTGAGTCCTGGACCCAGCACTGGTCCTTTGTGAGCTATTGGCTTTTGCAAAAGACTCGGGGAACATGAGTTGATGGGTGGGAAGGTGCTCTGAACTTTCAACAGGCAGTTCCATGATACTTAATTTCCTAATAGAGCATTTTGCTTCCGACGCCAGCTCAAGGACAGTTTTTCCCTTAGTGCCTCTCTTCATCCCCCAGATAGTACTGTTTCTGTTTGGTGGCTGGAGATTCTACCCCAGTCCTGCTGTGCTGCCACTGGGTTGCTACCAGCCCTGAGGGCTTTTTCTCTCCAGCTAGACTCCCAGCCCAGGTTAGCTCCCCATCCACTTCCTCCGCTAAGGCAGGCAGGCCCCAGAGTCCCTATGTGAGAGAAATAGCATGTGCCTCTGTTGTTCAGCAAACCACCAGGAAATATCATTTGAACCCCAAATGATGGAGGACAGAACAGGTTGATGTCACAGGGAAGCAGATTTTAGCTTAGTGTAGCATGAGGAAGAACTTTGGGATGTTTGGAGTGGCCAGTGAAGGAACACTCCCGCTGGTAATGAGTGTCCTGCCACAGGATGTATTTATGCAGAAAGATTTAAGGATAGTACAGAGGGACCATTGCCGTGGGTAGGGTAGATGCATGCAGAGGATTGTTCTAGCTCTAAGAGTCAACGATTCTGGAATTTGGAGCTTGTGTTGGAGAGGGGGGTCCTTGGGCCCAGGCACCATAGCTGCAGTGTGAAATGTGATGGTATAACGCATGATGACCAACCTCCGCAGGCTGACTCCTGGGCCCAGAGTTGGTTCCTTTTTGTTTAGTGTTTCTGATGTCTTTTCTCCACACCTCTTCCTTCTTTTCTTCTGCTTCTCCTTCTTGGTGACTTATGTCCTCTGCTCCCATCCCTATTCCACTCCCCATCTTCTCATGTGATCTTTGCTTTATAAGAGTTACTTAACGCTTAGGGGGGTGCCCGGGTGGCTCAGTCAGTTAGGGCTCTTGATTTTGGCTCAGGTCATGATCTCAGGGTAGTGGGATCGAGCCTTGCATCAGGCTCCGCGCTCAGTGCAGAGTCTGCTCGTCCCTCTCCCTCTGCTCCTCACCAGCCCCCACTCACTCTCTCTCTCTCAAATAAATAAATAAAATCTTTTAAAGAAAAGAGTTAAGTGTCAGTATTTAGAAGTTCTTTGTCTAGTACATTGAGTCTTTCCTCCTTAGAACATTACTTACAGCATATGTTCTAATGTATCATTTCTTCTCTTCCAGGAGAGTAACAGGACTAGAAAAGATAACAAAAAGAGTGACCAGCCCTCTGGAACATTCATCTAGGGTCAACCTAACTTTTGTCCTCCAGTGGTAGCAAAAGTCACTTAATTACAACAGGATAACTTGCACCTTGTTCTTCCACGTGCAGTGTGTCTTCAGGGAAACAATATGGAAAAATGGAAAAATGGAAAGACAAGTCCCTTGCCCCAAGCCTGAAAATGTGTGTTCCCTTAGAGGACAGCTTTTAAAATTTTCCCTAAAATCCCCAAAGCAGGTTAAAGTGTAAAGCAGGCAACTCTGCCTCCAGCTGATCACCAAAATGGCGGTGGGAAATGTGGCAGTGTCCTGCTCTCGGTCCCTCACCTTGGGAAACTGCCTCCCATTCCGCTATTAGAACTGTTGTGGTGAGTGTAGCCCTGGGTGGAGGCTGGACTGTGGGCTACATGGTCCCTTCCGGTATAATATGGAGGAAGGGACTTGAGGGCAATGGCAAAAAGGTAAGGAAATGTTTGTTCGTTTGCTTGTTTTGTCTTCAAGGGAGAGATAAAGAACTCCATATGGCTAGCACCTCTTCCTTTCTCGAATTCAGAAGTAAATACCCTAAAAACAGAAGAGAGAAAAGAAAATTTTTTAGATTCAATGTCTCTTTAAACAAACAGGGGCCATATTGCCTTCAGGGTTCCTTATAGCCAGGGAATAATAACAGCTGACATTTACTGAGTGCTTAATATGAGCCAGACACTTTCCCAAACCCTTCTCATGTGTTAGCACATTTAGTCCCAACAACCATCCTCTGAGGGAGGTACAATTATTACCACCTCCACTTTTCACAGATGAGGAATTTTCAGTCTGGGAAGGTTCCATAAATCACTCCAGGTCACAGAGCCAGCACCCAGTGAGAGGGAGAGTGTACCTAAGGGGGCCCCTCCGGAGCCTGCCAGTCCCCACTCTGCTGGGCTGCCTCAGCCCCAGGGAAAGAAGCTGCAGGACCGCAGCCAGCACTGAAAGAGTAGCCGGCTGCCGTGGGCTGGTTAGGGGACTTGCTTGTACTAAGCCACTTGACCTTCCTAACAGCCCTGTGATGTCGATACCCATTATACCCATTCGTATCCTGGTTTTACAGACGAGGAAGCCCAGGCACAGAGAGGTTAGGGAATTTGTTTAAGATCTAAGAGTAGGAGTGGGGAGTCAGCAGCTAAAAGCAGATCTTGAATGGAGTCCTTGCTCTGAAACACTTCACTATGAAGTCTCCGATCCTGCAGTTTTCCCTCTGTGCCTTTCCCTCATTTGCCTTCGGGGCTCTTACTGGCCACTCCCACAGAAGTCCTGGTGCTTTCTTGGGAACTCGCTCCAGCAACTCCCACCTGACTTATGAATGACTCTCCTGGGCCAGCAAGACTTGGTCTTCAGTGAAGCCAGTTTTAGAAAGAGAATGGGAATTTCGTTCACTGGAGCATCCCCTAGACGCCAAGCTCCATGTTAGACGCTTCATGTACATTGTCTTAGTTGATACTCCCAATCCTCTTCAGAGGGAGCAACAATACCCAATTTGCAGCTGTGAAAACTGAGGGTCAAAGTGAGGAAGGAACAAGCCAGGCCTCTGACCCATGGGCCTAGTGGGAACTTACTCCTCTCCTGGTCCATTTCCTAAGCTTGAGGACATCCTCTGTCCTGCCTCCTTCTCCTAACTTTCAATTCTTAGATTGTAGAAAACATCTACTCTCCAGGAAACCTGGGGGCACATGTCATATTTAGATTCCTGATGGCTGAGGGATTTCTTCCTTGAGCCCAAAACCTTAAACAGAAACAAAACAAAACAAAACAAAACAAAACAGTAGAGTGAACGTCTTCAGAAACTTCCTAGGCCTCCCATAGCCTCGAGGAAGGAGTCAGCTCTGCAGTGCGCTCTCCACTGTGTACGAGTGCCCCTGCTGTCTCTCCCGAGCCTCCTGGGCCTTCTGGTCGGACCAGTCACAGCCCCACATCCTGCTCTACCTCCCAGGCCCAAGAAGGAGCCCCCCGTAGGCTGCTGAAATCTGGGGGAGGGGGAGAATCCCGAGTCTTAGCTTTAAAGTTTTCTTGCTCCTGTG